CCTTGTTGTTTTTGTAGATACAGACTAACACGGCTACCCCCTGATACTTGACACCATGCAAGATTAACACATGGTCTCTGCTCTGCTCTCAGATTCTCCATCGAGAATGGAAAGCAGAATTTGGCCTCCTACATTCACACAAATTTGTGAGATAACAAAAAGGAGGGAATGCATGAAATAAAAGCAGTCTGATGTGTGTCTGCCAGGGAGCTGCCAGAAAGCCTGGAGCGTGTGTTCCCTTCTGGAGCTAAGCGAGCATTCGGAGTGCTTCTTCCGTATTCGGAAAAGGCGAGAACATGGTCCCAATGTGACAGCTGGGGCATTCTGCCCTCAGTGGTCACTCCATGGTGCTCCAAGTGGCTCATATAATTTGCCTTAAAAACAGGAAGAAAGCGCCTATTTGCAGTCAGGTGGTGACTGATCAGCTGCTTATTGCAGAACTGAGTGCACTCATGTGTGCTGCGTGCCTGGCTCAGATCTGTTTAGGGATACAATGACCTCAAGGCAGCCATTTCCCCGTCAAGCCTTATTTCATGGGCTTTCCAAAGACCCAGCTCAACGTAATGCAGAGTAACCCCTAGTCTGAGGAATCCCACTCATTTCAGTGGCACTGCTCCATTGTAGTTCATGAGCAAGATGGGCAGAATCAGGAACTAAATGTTTTTCAGAACTAGACTCAGCGGTGTAACAGACGGGCCTGTTAGCTCCACTGTAGTAAGGCACTAATCAGAAACGTCCACTCACATCCCTCGCTCCCAGAGCCCTGAACATACACGCTTGTCCTCTCAGGCCTCTACCATCCACATCGCTGTCCCTCCTCTCCATACAAAGCACAACTGCTTGGATCACTTACCCTGCCTGCCCCCTCTTGAAGCCTCTCCACCTGTTCCCCTCTTTCTCCACATTGGGGTCAAGGTACTTGTCTTCACTTCATGGGTCTTCGTGACTCTGCACTCACTGCATGCCCACTCCCGCCTCTTGTCCACCAACCCCACCTGCTCTGCTGCGCGAAGGTTGCCAGCCTCCTCCGCCCCCTTGTCAGTTCTCACACAGACCTCCCTGCGCCAGCATCCATACTGCCACCTGCACATGGAACACCCACCCTGAACTGATCCATAAGTCCCCAACCTCTCCATCCCCAGCATCCAGTTCTGCTGCTGCACCCAGGGATTGACAACATTCACAGTGTTATTAATTATCTGTATGACACTAGTGCAGGGGTTGGCAACCTTTCAGAAGTGGTGTGCCGAGTCTTCATTTTTCACTCTGAGTTAAGGTTTCACGTGCCAGTCATCATTTTAACGTTTTTAGAATGTCTCTTTCTATAAGTCTATAACATATAACTAAACTATTGTTGTATGTAAAGTAAATAAAGTTTTTAAAATGTTTAAGAAGCTTCATTTAAAATTAAATTAAAATGCAGAGCCCCCCAGACCGGTGGCCAGGACCTGGGCAGTGTGAGTGCCACTGACAATCAGCTCGGCACGCGTGCCGCCTTCGGCACCCGTGCCATAGGTTGCCTACCCCTGCCCTAGTGCCTAGGAGCCTAGCGCCTAGGAGCCCTAGCCATGGACCAGAACCATGCTAGGTGCTGTAAAAACAGAACAAAAACATGGTCCCTGCCCCATTTTCAAGTTTCGCAAGCCTGACTCTGATCTCACTTGCATAGGTGTGTAAATCAGGGGCAACTCCAATGCAACCGACAGAGAGACACTTGGTGCTAAGAGGTAAAGGTTACATACTGGGCAGACTATGCCATTTTGTGGTTGTACACACCTAGCTCAATTTATCTAAGGTTCTCCTATGGCTCCCATCACCATATCTGAGCACTTCACATGCTGTTGCATTTATTCTCACAACTCTGCCATCAGGCAGGGCAGGGCGATTATCCCCTTCTACAGTTGGGGAACTGAGGCACAGAGAGGCTAAGTGACTTCCCCAAGGTCACAAAAGGAGTTTGTGGCAGAGCAGGTAACTGAACCCAGGATCTCTTAAGTCCCAGCTTGGTGCCCTAACCATTTGACCATCCTCCTTCTCAAGGCTTCATTCTTGATTGGGGCCTCTAGCTGCTACAGTAATCAAAATTATAATAATGTATCTCATTGCCATAAGAATGACTCTACAGATCAGGCCAACGGTCCATATAGCCCAGTATCCTGTCCCTGACATTGGCCAGTGTCAGATGCTTCAGAGGGAATGCACAGAGCAGGGCAATTTTGAATGCTCCACCTCTATTGTCCAGTCCCAGCTTCCGGCAGTTGGAGATTTAGGTACACCCAGAGCATGGGGTTACAACCTTGACCATCTGGACCTATTCTCCAGGAACTTATCTAATTCTTTTTTGAACCCAGTTATACTTCTGGCCTTCACATCATCCCCTGGCAACAAGTTCCATAGGATGACTGTGTGTTGTTTGAAAAAATACTTCCTTATGGTTACTTTAAACCTGCTGCCTATTAATTTCATTGGCAACCCCTGGTTCTTGTGTTATGTGAAGGGATAAATAACTCTTCCTTATTCACTTTCTCCACCCCAGTATGATTTTATAGACCTCTGTCATATCCCCCCTTAGTCATCTCTTTCCTAATTGTACAGTCCCAGATGCTGTGCTGTGATTGTTTTTGTTCTAAACATAAAAAGTCCTTCTGGACTGAGGAAGGAAATTTTTCTTCTCTTGTGGTGGAGATTCTGCATAATATGGGTCTGATCCTGCTTCCACTGAAGCAAATGGCAACCTGCAAACCCCTCTCTCCCCCGCTACACACACTGACTGAAATAGAAGCCTCTCCATTGCCTTGCCCATAGTCACTCACACCAGTGTGGGTGGATGGAACACAACACCACTGGGATATGGTAGTGTTTTGCACCCCCTGTGCACTACAGCAGAGGACTACGCTGGGAGCAGGGCCATGGAGAACCAGGGGCCTAGTGAGAGGTGCCTTAGAAAAGGATCAGAAAGAAAATAACCAAGAAGCTAGGTCAATGCATATTGTCTTTGAAAAAAATGGATTTCAACCCACCTTCCAGGCGATCAAAGCCCAGGACAATGTCGGAGAGGTTCCCATCCCTGCCTTTGGTTTCCAGAGCAGTGATTATACAGCCTAAGGAGATAATCTCCACTTTAACACTGTCTGATTTCAGCAGGAACTTTTCAACAGCCCCTCCTCCTCCCTTCTGGGGCAAGTGTCCAAACACCTCTCTGGTCACTTCTGTCATTTCTCCCCACAGCCGGATGTCTCTGGAAAACAAGAGAGAAACCACACCACCAAGGTAAGCAGACGGCTGAGGACGGGAAATCCGGAGAGCAGAGGCAGCAGCAAGAAAACACACACTGCAAACAGGGCAGAGCTTGGAGCCAGGAAATCACATGATCCTCCCCCAAGCGGGCCAAGCCAGATGAGCAGACAGGGATAGACGGTCCCGTACGTTTTCCTGGCCCCTCTCTGAAGCAGGGAGGCCAGCCAATATTCTGCTAAACAGAAACTAAGCTGCAACCTCATCTACAGCGCGACTATCAGCTGCTCTCCCATTTCAGCAAGCAGGTGAACACTACGGGGTCCAGCAGGCAATGCTGGCTTTGATATAACATGAGCAGCCAGCCATTCAACTCCAGGTGGAGGATTGCATGCTGGGATGTGTAGTTCACACTGCTGGCACCAAGAGGGGGAGCGCTGTAGGCTGTGGTCTGTAGTTTTGAGAGACCTGAGCTAGAATAAAAGAGAAGAGAGACTTTCAAAGTGCAGGATTGCCAACCCCCGGGGTTCAAAAATCTGGAGTCAGACCCTCAAAGTCACCAGACTGGCTTAAAAATCATGAGATTTTACAAAATAATACAGTGTGGGCTCATTTTATTTGCCTTCTGGCATTTGAGTTTTTAGGATACATTCAGATCACATTTCCAAGTTTTTTTCTGCAATCAGGAGGACTAGAAACTTACTGTTGTTTTAAAAGGAAGCTGAGATTCTCCCATAAGCACCTGACTCTGGCAGCTGGGGATTTAAGACAATCACCAAATATGGCAAGCCTCACAATCGAATTGTGAGCATTGGCAACAATGATAACTTGTCTGTGCTGGAGAAGAAAGGCGATCTGCTATGACTTGGAAGTGATATGTATTAGAAATCACATTGCGGACACTCTCCTTCAGCACTGCCAACCCCCATGTATTCTAAATCACGAGTCAGGGCCTCCGAATCATGAGATTTATTAAAATAATAAATGTTCAGGGTTTTTTTGTTTGCCTTCTGGGTTTGTGCCTTTAAAGGGTCACATTCTCAAGGTATTCTCCACAATTGAAGGCTGGAAACTTAATTTTTAAATGAAAGCTGAGATTCCCATTTAATCACAGAACTCCAGGAGCTGGAAATTAAGAAACATACTACATATCATGAGCCTCACAATAAAACCGCGAGAATTGGCAACCGTGATTTTAACTCCTTTGAAGTTGAGATTTTTGGAGAGACAAGGTATACTCTTCTCCCATATCATGGCAATATTTGCCATGCATTATTTAAGCACCATGCAGGTAAACAGCTTGATATTTCTAGGAAGTATGACATTAAGGGAGTAAAATAAGTGTTGAAATATCCCTAGGCCCCAATCCTGTAACACCTGCATCACTTTACTCACATGAGTAGCTCTTCTGAGATCAATGGGGCTACGCATGGAAGTAAAGCAAAGGGGCCATTCACATGGGTTGCAGGATCAGGACCTTAGCTAGTAGATTCCATTGTTTTCAGCATTTGTGTTCTTTAAAATATCACTTGGGCAGTCCCAACTTAAAATCAAGCAGGTGTGACTAGGTTGCAGCATTGAGTAAATCAAAATAAAATCATTATGAAAAACAGAGGCTTTTGTCAATTAATGTCTTGTTATTGATTTTATTAAATTTATAAACTTGATTATCTGTGAAGCATGGACACTGACAGTCTTTATAACAAGCAACAACATCTGGCACATATACACCTCTACCCCTATATAACGCTGTCTTCGGGAGCCAAAAAATCTTACCGCGTTATAGGTGAAACTGCATTATATCAAACTTGCTTTGATCCGCCGGAGTGCGCAGCCCCGCCCCCCCGGAGCACTGCTTTACCATGTTATATCCAAATTCGTGTTATATCAGGTTGCGTTATATCGGGGTAGAGGTGTACTTCTATAGATGTAGTTGCATAATGGCTACACATTTGGAAATGGATGGGAGACGTGGATTTTTGTAAGTCACAGTGTTGATATTTTTGCATTTACATTATCATGATGATTTATCCTTTCTAATAGGAGGTGCCTTGTGGTCCCAATCAGGATAGAGGTCTCATTGTGCTAGGAGCTGTATCAGTGTACAGGTAGACAGTTCCTGCCCCAAACAACTGACTTGCCTGTCACATTCACTTGTGTCTTTGTCAAGAGGAGGGAAGGACAAGGAGGATAACAAAACTAAGATCATGTAGTTACATAGGTCACTACTGTGCAGCCTGATGGCCCCATATACTAGAGGAGCATTAGAAGAATATGAAATAAATACAGCTTTCCCCACTTGCCTTATTACTAGAGCTGGACAGAAGATGGGGGAAAGGGTGTTCATGGAAAATTTTGACAAAAGTTAAAAAAAATAGTTTTTGTTGAAATTCTCCACAGAAATCTTCAGCTTCTCATTGAAACTGAAAAATGTGGGGCTTTGGTTTCTTGATGAAAGGTCAAAATTTTCCATGGAAAAGACACTTTTTGCAGGGGAAAAAAGGTTGCTTCATTTTCTGTCAAAAACCAGTTTTGATGGAAAATATCCTACTAGCCCTACCTATTGCCTGTAAACATAACAGCCAGTCTGGGGTTTGAAGAAAGAGGGCAGTAGCCTCATGGGTTAATTCCAGGAGGACATCCCATGCGTAGTATGGAGCAGCTTGCAACAGATACAGACATCTGGGCCTTCAAGGCTGGCCCCATTGCACTGACTCCCTCACTTCACCAATCAGAGACTTGCAGATCCCTGGTGAGGGCCAGAGTCTAAGGTGATGGTGAGGTGGTAATTGGTGCTGAGTAGCACAGACAAGCAATGAGCCAGGGAAACAACCCTAGCAGCGGTATCTTGAATGGACTGGAAGGTGAAGGGGGTTGGGGTACATATCTGTGTGTGAAAGAGATAGATTTAGCTCTATGAACAGAAAGAAAAGGACAGGCCTTGCTTCCAGGACTCTGAGGTATTATGGATAGGGCTGTGCATGGCCTTATCAGGAGAGGAAGCTGGCCTGCTGGTTGGAACTAGGGCAGCCAGGCCTAGTGACCAGAGCCCAATTCAAGAGTCAAATTACCAAGTCCAGGGAATGAGTCAGAGCATCAGCTGGACCAAGACCAAGGCCATAGCCACAGGTATGAAATGCTACTGAGCAACCAGACCTGCTGCAGGGTTTGAGAATGTGCCTGCAGGAGCCTTCAGCCAATCAGGAGGCCAGGTTCATTAGCTGAATCAGCTGAGGGCAATGAGCTGGGTCTGTTCAGCCCTGGGTCCCTGACAGTAGGAGAAAGGGTTGGGGCTGTGGACTTGTTTGGGCAAGAGAGAAGGAGAGGGGAAAAAGGGATAGAGGGAGGAGGAGAAAGTGGCACAGAGAAGAGCCGTGTGCTGAGATGAGGACAGATACTGGCTAAACACAGTTAGGGGAGAGGAACCAGTGGATTGGGCAGGAGCAGGTAGTGAGCTGATATAGACAAGAACAATCAAGCATGTTGGCTGGAGCAACTAGGTAACCAGGCAAAAGCAAAACTGCAGAAGCAAGGGATCCTATTGCAGGCAGGAGAAGCCTCTGGGGAGCTGGCCTGGTGGCCAGCTGGCCAATGTAACGGTGATGACAGACAGTACCATGATCAGGAGTGGGCTGCAGATGTTGCTGCTGCAGTCACTATGGTAACACAAACAGATATTTATTGAGTGGTGATGCTGGAGGAAGAGCAATGTGTGCGAGGTATTATTATGGCAGCCAATGGATCATCCCCTAATTTCATTAACATCACAACCTGAGGCTGCAGACTTCCTGCCACTTATCTCCAACAAGCAGGTGGGAAGAGAACCCTTTCAAATCCACATGCCCCTGTCTGGGGCAGCCCATCCCAGCCTCTGTAGTGCTCATCAGGCCCCACCACTCAGCCTGGATGGGGAACTGCTGTGTTTCAGTTAGTGGGGTTCCTTGCCTGGTGAGTTTGAGGCCAGCACTGAATTGGGATTAGTCAAGGCTGTGGTTGGGTGTCCCCAGGGCGGGGAATGATGTGGACTGGTAGCAGGAGACTGACAGAGCTCAGCCAGTGTTTGCTCAGCTCTCCACTCCACCTCCACACACCGTGGCCCAAGTGACTAAAAAGACTGGTCACAAGAGGCACCGGATCAAACATAAACATCCCTCTCTGGGTATTAAGAAGCTCTGCTTTACTCCACAAAACTCAAACTCGCCCACAGTCCTTGGCCATGCAGTGTCCGGTCAGTGAACTCCACACCAATAACCAGGGCCGCTCCTGTTTCCCCAGAGCTCCCTGTCCTGGCTGCTGCTGGCAAAGCCCCTGCCTCTCACTCCCTTGTGACTGACAGCCCCTCGCGGCTGACTGTCCCCCTGATCTGATTCTGAACAGACTGCCTGGCTCAGGGGGGGCCTCTGAGTGGGGCAGCAGAAGGAAGGGCTGTGGGATTCCTTTGGGGCCGCACTGAAAGGGTATACACCCTACCACAGAGAGCTGCTCGGGTGGGTTGTTTGTGCAGAAGGAGGGGTTGTGGGGCTATTTGTTTGGATACCCTGGAATGAGAAGGCTGCTGGCTTTGATGCGGTAGGCATTTGGGGAGTATGTGGGTGGAGGTAGCTCAGCTCTGGGGAGTGGGTTGTTAATGTTCCCAGAGGATGGTTTTTAGCAGTATGGCTGAGGTAACTGGGATTTGTTCTTGTTACCCCATTCTGAGACCCGGCCCATCCTCATTAAGGACCTGAACCAGAGCCCATTAAATCAGTGGGAGTTTTTCCACTGTTCTTCAGTGGGCCCTGAGTCAGGCACTAAGAAGTGGGATGAAGCTTGAGTGGGCTCCATTGGACTTTAGGAGGAAAGTTAACAGAAAGAGATGAACAGCTGGGGGTTTGGGAACCCTGGTTACTAGTGAAGAACAAAGGACTGGTCTAATAGGTCTAGAGGTACTGAGAGATGCCTGGGCATCCTTCATTTAGGGACACATGCTGCCAGAACAAGGTTTGTTCTTATGAAAGGAGGGTC